TAAATTAATTCCTACATACCCATGAATTCTCGACACAGAGATTGCCAATGCTCCTTTGCCTGACGAACGCGTTCTACTCTCTCAGTCTGGCATCGCTTCTCCCAGTATTCAGGGCAGCTGTTTGGACATACAAGTTTAGAAAAGTCTCCATCGTTTAATAAATTTGAGACGATCACCTTAATAACATATACCTTTGACTGAGCAAGATGTTTAACTCAACTAAATGCATTGCACCAGCATTTACTCCTTCCTAAATTTGCACAATAGAATTCCATTGATTACGTATATTTTTTGCTAGAAAATACCTCAGTCAGCATGAATTCATTATGTAAGAGATTTTACCCGCCGACAAAGAGGACATTTTGCTTTAGGGTCTGCTGCCTTTAAACCATCAACTATCGTTATCGATGCAGCAGCACAACAACACATGTAGCAGAATAGATGGCCACAAGTGAGAGCAACAGGGTCGAAGACGGTGTCCTGTAAAATGACAAGATTTAGTAGAAAATGACCGACTTTATTTCACTTGTGATGAGACATTAAAGTGGAACAAAATAAGATATTTGTGAAATTATGCAATGAGCAGACTTCAAAATACCAACTTCTGCAAAACAAACATATCCTTACATAGAGTAAAAGACTCACCAAACAAATCGAACATGTCAAGTCAATTTCAATCTGCATAGAATCAAAGAGGCCACATGAAAGTGTTGGTTTGCCATCATCATCACATGTAAGCGAGCAGTCATTATATAGTTCGGTGATGGCTTCGTTCTTAAGTTTGCTTTGCCTCAAGTTAATGTAAAAGGCCATTAGCTCACACAGCCATGGTGATTGGAGGATCTCGATATGCATACTGGGTGCTTTGGATCTGAATGCCTGCCCTTGCTTCGAGCAATGAACCTGTAGGAGAGAGAGCTCCAATTTAGGCAAATTTGCAACACATAAAAGTGTAGATACAAACTAGTATTTTAAATATGTATTTGCAGTTTTGCAAGTTGAAACTCGAAAGCACTCTGGACAGATCAGAGCATGATGAAATTTTCAGAAAAATGAAAGCAATGTGAAATTTTTATTGTGATTGAACTTGCATACCTTATCATACTTCTTCAGTATTTTTCTCATGGCAATGGAGTTTATGATAGCATATGCAACGAGGTCCTTCCCTTCTTGTATCAATGCTCCATCATTCTTCGGAGACTTGCCTCTGAGCCACATAATAAGCTTCCGAAAGCCTGATGCTAAATGCAATTTAAGTAGCTTCTGAGCATGTTGATTAAAGCAAACAACAACAGCTGACATCTCCTTGTGTAGGGAGGGGAAGAAAGTGCCATCACAAACTACACGAGAGACAGACGACAAACTGAATCCAGAAAACCTAGAAGAAATGTAATGTTGTACAGGGTAGTAAGAGTTTTAACTACCGCATGCTTAATAATAAGCATTTAGGATTCATTTAAAATTTGTAGAAAAACCACATATATTAGCTATGAACAAGAAAAAAATTATTGCCAAAGAAAAAAAAAAGGTACCAATAGCTTAAGCTTCTGCCAAGACTTTAGATAATTTGTCACAGTTTAATTGTCTAAAGAAAAAGAAGCATAAACCGAAACATCATGAAATCTGTGTCGCTTATGCGTTTCCAAGCTCTGGCAATTGTTTAACATGCCATGACCTGGAACAGATTAAACTGAGTGCTGGGAGAAGAACAAGTTTTGTGTTACCTAGTGGTGCTGGATTAAATCTACAGCGATTGGAAGTTCATCCTTCTGATTTTAACAGACAGTGATAAGGCATATTTCGGATCTCGACCATGTCACGATCCATGCCACGTCACACCCCTGCAGAGTCAGCACAAGGGCTGCCTTCCTCCCACGTCGAGTTGGAGCCCATACAGGGAGGCGCCCCCTCGGCAAGTCCCATCCCGGAAAGCTCGGGACGGCGCCGCATGGCGCGATTGCGCGCATACCGGGCGGCGACCACATGAAGGTACGATCTCGTCACTCGAGATGATTGGCCATCACGCCAAATACGACCGATCCTCAGACAATAGTATAAAAGTCCCTGACCGACATCTGGCCAGAGGACGAAGATCAGAAGGAGAAAAACCAATGACTTAATCTACGATGGGCCCAAGTCGGAAATCTCCCGACCAGGGCCTGTATGCAAGAATGCGACCACCCCCGAGCCAGCTCCATCCCTCATTAGAAACGCAGCCATCCCGACCCCTAATCTAGCTCAGCCTCAACGCGTCTTCCAATCGTCCGAGAGACATTCCCCTGAACGCCAGGAACTCTGGACATCGACCCATGGACCAAGCCATGCCGACTCCTCGGCCACGGAGCGTGAGTTCTCACCAACAGATAGTATTGATCAAAGAGAAACAGAAGCTTATACAGTCAAAAGCAAATTGATGTAATATAGTCACCACTGTAATCTGCACAGATTCAAAAGATTTCATCAATTGGAACAAAAAAAGATCAGACCTTTCCCTTGCGGACAATCTGAAATCCCAGAATATATATATATATATATATATATATATATATATATATATATATATATATATATATATATATATATATATATTAAACCTGGACATGATATCAGAAAAAAAAAATTATTTCGACATAATACCTGCACAATTGCCGGCAAATTTGCTCCCTCCTCCATCATCTTGCTTCTGATGCTGGGACTGGAATTCTCTCCCACACCTCTTCAATATTTTCTTTAGCTGCTTCAATCCAAGGGCAGGCAGCTCCTTCTCCCTCCTCCCCCGCATGTAGTCCTCGTATCTCTTGCAAAACTTCATCTTGTCTCCGCCACCCAGTCGCAAAGCTTCCACCTTTCATCGAACACAAGAAAGGCACCAACTTTTGGCTGAGAAAATGGAGAAGTGGATCCAAGGATCACCAACGATGAATGTGATGGCAATAGGAGTCTATTATATACCAGAGTTAGCCGTCGTGGATTGGATCGGAGACCCTCACCTTCGACTCAAGTGAGGCCAAATCTGCGACTACAAATACTCCGCAGACCGCGCTGCATAGGAAAGTCATCGAGGCCCGCTTCAAAACCGGTCATCTCATTCTTACCTTTGATCTCAACCCTCCTTATTGGAAATGTCGACATAGATACTGTCTACGACTTTTAATTCCTTTCTCCTAAAAAGGTATCTTTTCGGAGGGGAAGACATGACGCGAGACTCACCTGATGGAATCTCACCAGAGTATGATCAATTTCTCGTATTCGGATTGGAAGCGCGACTTGCAAGTTTTTAATCACCCCGGAGATTTGCACCGTGGAGTCCTGCCGAGTTTGGTTTGGATTTGTCCTCATTCTTTGTGATGAACATCCATGTAATAATTGTTATTAGGATGACTAATCAATTGTTCTCAGTCAGATGGACAGTCAATCAGCAGATTGTGTTTATTTATCATTTTAATTTTAATTTTCACAAAGGATGAGATCAAGTATTTTTATTGACTTCCTTAATTATAACTTTATGTACTTATGGAACAATTTGAAGGATAAGTTCTCTTAATAATCAACAAATTTGAATGTGGAAAAATTACCAGTTTGTTGCTCTCAAATATTTTTTGAATTTCTTAATTAGATTCTATTTATTTGGAGAAAACTAATCAAGAAATTAGAATTTGAAAATATATGTATATATATGGAGAATATATATATATATATATATATATATATATATATATATATATATATATATGGTTGGTCGCTCTATAAATACTTTATATATCTCAAAATTTTGGTGAGTAATATACGAAAGGAAAAATACTTAAGTATTTCGTGTAAATATTTTATGTATTATTTGTGAATTTACGGCTTATCTTGTCTTGAATTTATATTAGGATAAAATTATTTGTTCTTTCTTGAAATTTAGGCAATGTTTATTAAAAGATTATGTATATTGAGTCTCCTCTAACCTTCCATTATCGTGAGATTAAGCTAAATACATTGAACCCCTCTCCACGAGCAATGAACCTCCTTAAACAGAGTTTAGAGGAGGATGGTCTTTATTGCGTCCACCCACCATCAAAGGTGCGTCCAAATGCTGCAAGTTGCTAATGAGCTGCTGCACCGGTAAGAGGGATTTGGTGGCACATTCCATGGTGGCCGAGGAGAGTAGAAAGCTCTGCGTGTAGCTTTCACGACTGAACAACATTGTGAGGGATGATGTGATTGTGAGGACTCCACGCAGCAGCATGTTTGTAAGAGATTTCCACATTGATGATGGGTCTCACTTGGTATGCGGAAGGAGAGGAATATAAGGATGCTGCAATGTGATTGGTATGAATTCATGGGAAACACGTCTGGATATAGGAAAAAGAAATAGCTGCAATTGTTTACCAGGAGATTCTTTTCAGGATCATGACATGGTCTTTTTATTTTGCCCACCGATCTGTGGTCTCTTGGATCATGCTGATGTTTTCTTCGATGGGTTTTCATCTGCTTGAGATTCAAACGTACAGGCAAACTCTCAAGTACATTATAGAGAAAGAAAACATAAGGAAAGCAAAGAATATAACAATAGCCCAAACTGCAGGAAATTTAAATTGCATACTTGAATTCATACCTTATCACTGTGTTTTTGGTGAACTCTACTCTTTGAATTAAGAAATCCAAAGACTGAGTTGAGCTGCTATCTGATTTTAAGTTACTCAGGGCTTGGATCACTGGCAAATAATACAGAATATGTTGACTGTTATCAATGTCAAAGGAAAGAACCAAATAATTAAAACATGTACTTCATAAGCTGGTGTTTGTCAAGGAGACATCAAGCAGGTGTACTCTGAACATTATATGATAGTTATTAATTCTTTATCCAGTTGCTTTGTGACCACTACACAAAGCTGCTTAAACACTAAGTGTCTGGACTTGTAAAGCAACACTGTCGAGTATCAACCAGAGATAACATTAAAGATGAGTTAAGATATTGCAACTCCTATACTGATCAAGTGGAATAATCTATATATTTTTTACGACATTAACCTTTGAACCGAGAAAGAAAAGTTCATTTGGTACATAAGATGTCGGAGCAAGATGCTTACCTAGCAAGAGTTATTTGAGCCTAGTAAGGGTGTTCAAATCGAATCGGAAAATTGAATCGAACCTGAATCAAACCGATTCAATCCGAACCAGTTCATCAATAATTCGATTTTGAAGACTAGAAATGGTTCCCCATTTGGGAGGGTATTCTTCTTCGATTCAGTTAACCGGTTCGAATCGAACCGAACCATTTGGAAAAGCAACAGTTTTTTAAGTTCATAATTTCATCTATCTAATTGTCATTAAGATGTCTAAATATCCATGCCGGTTGGGGCGTCTGGATCAATAAGATGCATTCACCACGTATTATTACTTTTTACTCTTTTTGAAGCTCAATGATGCTGAGAGCAGATTGTGGTGACTAATATGTTGCAATGGAAGAAGACCCTCAACTGCTATACTCTCAACTTTCTTGGAGGTTGTTGTCGGGAGGAGTTTCGTCCTTGTGTTGTCTTATTGTTGATTCCTTTCTTCCTTCTATATCTAATATTTTTTTTAAGAAATTTAGAATGATATTTGTGATATAAATTTTTTTTAAGAATGTTAGTCCAATTGGATCAAAATTTTGGTTCGGTTCAATTAAACTGAATCAAAGCACCGAACAAAGCCAGTTCATTTAAAATTGATTAACCGGTTAACCAAACTAGATTAACCGATTAATCAAACTGGATTAACTGGTTTTGAACCGATTCAATTAAATAGGTCCCAAATGGTTTTAATTTGGAATACCTTAATTTAACCAAACCAAACCGCTTTTTCGATTTGATTCGGTTTGGCCCTTAACAGTTCGGTTCGAACCGATTTGAACACCACCCTAGAGACTAGCATATTTTAACATTTTGGTACTGCCTCCGCTATAACACAGCATGATCCCACTCTGCAAGCAATGAGCAGAAGTGAACTTTAGGTTTTAAAGCTGCCTACATAGATCAAAGAAATAACATCTGATGAATTTAGAGGACTAAGTACCAGAAATACAGCACACAGATACCACAGCAACAGATGAAGCAGGATGATCACCAAATTGCACCTTACTCAATCAATACATTCACATGAAAAATACCAAAATTAAGAGATCAGGAGTGAGCAAAATGACCCAAATTCCAAATGGCTCCAGCCTCTAACTTTGTCCATGGACTATTGTGGTCACAACAGACATACATCTTGGAACAGATCAGTGAAACAATAAAGGTGTTTTTCATGTATCATCACTACAATCAAATGACATATCATAATACCAAGCATTAATAAGAAAAGAAACGATAGTTCTACCTAAAACAGCAGTGATCTTTGGAAGCCAGTTAAGGTTATCCATTTTCAACCAAGTTGACAATAACAATACCAAATCTCGACATCATCAGGATTAGCAGAATGAAAAAAACGTACCAGTGCACCGGGTTTGGGGAGGTTGAATGCACGCAGATCAGGAGTAGCAGAATCATAATTAAAAATATATAGCTCCTGAAAACCAAATCGATCAACCAAAGCATGCACATAGGCCTGAAAGATTTCATCTTTAAGAGTACAATGGCCTCTCAGTCCATGCCCCTGAGACATGCCCATTTTCACAAACATATGCCCTGACCACTGGCTCGCCGTCATCATGAAATCCAAAGACCCTCCTCAAGCAAAATGCAGAGTGAAGGTCCCATGTCTCCCTGCAAGCACAGAATGCACAGCCCAACGCAATCTTGCCCCTATTCGAGTCGCTTATCGTCTTCCACACTCTCGACCGCTTGAAGTTCTTGAACACCCCTCTAAACAGCATATACTTCCGCTTCTCCTCCGCGTGAACGCATCCAGGCCAGTCGCACATGTAGAGACAATCACCTCTGAACCGGCTGGCGAGCAGCTTATTCCCCTGCTCGCGGCTGACAGTCCAAGGCCCGGAAGCCAAATGGGCTCCTGCCGGGCCGACCTGATGTTTCTTCCTCTTCTTGGTGGCAGCGGAGCCGACTCTGACGGTAGTTTCGCTCGGAGATGAATCGATCGGCGAAAGGGCGGCATCTTGCAACTCGGGATGGTCGTAGATGGTGTCAGAGCAGAGGTCGTCGAAGAGGGACCAGCAAGAATCAGCGGTCTCCGGGTGGATCTGGGACGGGGGAATCGGGGGACAACTGGAGGAGGTGGACGAAGAGGAGCAAATGGGGACGGAGCGATGGGGGCCGATGTCACGCTCGAGGCCGAAGTCAGAGTGCTCGAGGAGGACGCCGGCGCGGAGGAGACCAGGGCAGCAGACGCAGAGTTTGTGGAGGGACGGCCAAGCGGCGGAGGCTGCGGTGGAGGGGAGGAGGTCGGAGGGGAGGGATCGGGAGCAGCGGGAGGGGCAGCAGACGGTGCGGACGAGGGAGGAGAGGCGGGAGGAGACGCAGGCGAGGCGGGCCCAGTCGCGGGGGTCGGTTTCCAGCTTGGCGAGGATATTGAGGACGATGTCGTCGGACAGGAGGGCGAAGCGGCAAAAGGCTCCGCCGGAGGCGGTCGTGGTGGTGGCGGCGGAAGAGGAGGAGGAGGAGGAGGAGGGTAGGGTCATCGTAGTGACAAAAATGAGATCTTTTCTTTTTCGTTCTCTGTTGCAAACAAAGGGTTCAGGGCAAAATTGAGAGGGACGGGATTCGAGGGGTCGACGACGAAACGAGCCTCTATTGCTTCTTATATTTTTGGGTCCTATCATTTTTCCCCTCCCGAAGAGGACCGATAAAGTTCTGTGAAGACAAACGTGTAACGTTTCGTTCACATGACAAAAGGGCGATATGGACATCCAATCAGGTGGGTTGGTGGTACGTCTTGGGATCTCCTTGATATGATTGTGTCCTCTTCTTTCATAGAACGGGTGATTCGCTGCTATATTATATTATATAGCGGGTGGAGATTGTGTTACAGATGTAGAAATCAGGCAAGAATGTTCATCTCCCATCTCCAAGATGAAGCGGGCAACCGGAAAGTGATATTTTGCGTAGTAAGGTTAGGTAAGAATTAAGTAGTCGGATGATGCAAAGTACATTGACATTCTTCCGAGCCAAAGAGAGTCGAAAAGGAAACGTTGACATATATCTTTGGCAAACCAGACACGAGTTCATTGCATCACTGCTTTGACAAAATAAATCAAAGTTTGACAGCAACAAGAAACAACCACCACAAACTTGTAGTGGCAGCACACATTTGTCTTTGTGAGCAAAGGAAATTTTCACTCGATCCACATTGGCATATCATATGGCTTTGAAAAGCGTAGCAAAGTTTGACAAACGCCTCACATGGTGAGTGAGCAATCTATATCATCCGGAAACAGTTTCAGCCATTTAGACAATTCTTTTACCATCAAAACAAAAACGGATGCCAAACCATCCTGTAGCACGTCAGCAAAACATCACAACAAATTGAATGGTTTGAGTACTGGAAAATTGTTCTACATTATAAACAAACACAGTTCTTGCATGTTGGGTCTTAATATTTGTCAACACTGATCATAAACATCTTCAACAAAGTTCAGCAGAAAAATAAAGGGTCTGGGTTTATCAATAACAGTCTTAGTGATCATAGATGGCCAAACAAGAATACAACAAACGACTTCGTTCCATCTTGGACAGCTTCCGCATCAGGCAGATTGGTCTAATCAGATTTCGCCTGTGGGAAAAAAAAATTTATCATCGACCGAAGCAAATTCTTGTGTAAATGTAAAGGCAATTAGCAATTCTATCATGGAATCATACCACAGGCGATCGAGATCGAGATAAGCTCCTGCTCCTGCTTTTGCTAGGACTCCGCTTGGTAGGACTTTGGTTCACAGGCTCATCACGAGCGGGCTGCACAGATACAGTTTAGTTGAACAATATAAAAGTAGAAGAATAATCCTGCAATGCAGAACTTACAGAAGTTACAGGAGATCTGGATCTTGATCGTGATCTGCAAAAAGTTTCAGAAAACTGAATTCAATATCCATTTTGCTGCTTTAACAACTTGATCCAAAATCCTCAACGTCTCTTCCACGTCAGCGGGAAGGCAGAACAAAGAATTCAAAATACTTTAGAAGCATTTGATTATTACAAAATCAACTTGTGATCACTCATGAAATGTAATTGCTTGTGCCTTCGAGTAAAAGAAAAACTACCTTAGATCAATAGAAACTTGCAAGCCTAGTCAATATATAAAAATGCAAGCATCTATATTATCAGGTACCTATGCAACAACAATTATCCTAATCTATTGAGAGGATTTTTTATTGTACCAATAAAGCTACATCCAGAATCCTGAGTGCAACTTATAGTACTGGGAGAACGTTGGAGAATGGCAAAACTTGTTCCTAGCACTTGTCCAGTGAGGCCCAATTCCACTTGGCTTATAGAATAATCCAGCTCGTTAATGCGCAACCAATCCTTTCTGCCCCCAAAGAGGCCCATTATCAGAAAAGGCCATTAGTGGTAATCATCAAGATGTGCTGCAGGTTTCATAAACCACTTGTCTATGAAACAGCATACCTCACAACACCAAAAGAGTTGCAAGCATTTGTACCAAATCCAATCCAGATCCTAATATGCAATCCAGAGATCCCCGCTTATGCCCAAATCTAAAAAACAAACAAGTTAACTTTCAAATAAAGGTTAATAACCAGGCAGCGTGTATAGACTTATCATGACCACTGACAGGAAAAAGGGACAAAAATACAAAAGATGAATCATAATAGTAAATGTCCAGCTTTCATTATTTAAACCATTTTAGCATGCAAAGTTCTGTAAGACAAAATATAAACTAATAATTGGGGCGGTCATCATTTAAATAGCAGCAGATACTGAAGATTAGATAGCAGTGGATCTACTACAGATATTATCAGGCACAACTAGAATCATGACCAACTTAATAAAATGATGTAAAGATCAGATAAAGAAAAGCAGCATCGGAGATGGTTTAAATTTTAAAATAACACGACAAACACACTTGGTAGAGAACACATGTCAATCCAGAACCCATAATTTCCCATAAACCTCACAAAAATGGCATCAAGCCCCACCAACATACTTGAGAAAAGGAAATTGTGTTACACTTTGTAACAAAATCACCAACATGACAACATAACACTTTCAAGCAAAGTTCGCAATACCGTACCATACCAGTATTTCGATCTGGACTCGGTACCGGTACGGTACGGTATACCGAGCGGTACACCCAAGTGTACCGAGCGGTACACTTAGGTATGCCGAGTACTGTAGTACTGCTACAGTACTACAATGCACTCGGACCGGTAACAGACGGTCCACGTACCGGCAACCGGTCAGACCGGTACATACCGCCCGTACCGGACGGTACAGTTCGGTACTGCAGACCCTGCTTTTAAGAATACTTTGTAACAAGTATCAATTAACCTCTAATATGCATTCCTACTACAATGAAACTGGTGACACATGACAGAGAAGGGAAAGGGATTCTTAAATCCCCACTTTAGACAAAAACAAAATGGAACAGAGAAGAGAAACTTTGTCAAGCAATAATTATTTGGGTCTCCTGAAATTTTAAGGTTGACCTTACTTTCCTCACACAGAGCTAAACAAGAAAAGCTAAACTATACTTCTGTTCCTTTCATATCCTAGTATATTTTGTTTTGTATCTCGCTTCTCACCCTATCCATGTATCTGAGCTGAGTGCAACAGCATAGACATCACAGCTTTTCTCACAATTCATAATCCTGTGAACAATAGACTTCCAACCTGAACACATACATACAGTTTTTTTAATAGACATAGCATACACATTCACAAACATGAGTATCTGAAACAATAAGACCATGATGATCACTAGTTATACTCTAATCAATTATAAAAGAAAAAAAATAGGTAAAATTGGAAAAATAAAACAAAGAATAAGAGTAATACTCCTGCAATTTGAAGTAGTTCAAGTAGTATCAAGGAGCTAGCTAAACATTTTAAGAGTGTACCTTGACAAAGAGCGTCCTTTGGATGCTGATCGAGAACGAGAAGATGCAGATCTTGATCGAGACCTTGACAAGGAATGGCGTGATGACTTTTCCTTAGGAGACTTGCTGCTCAACGTATTTAATACAAGTCAGGGTTATGTCACATTTTTATTACAATTATGATAGATAGAACACTAAACCTTCGGCTCCGACTCCTGCTGCGAGCCGGACTTGGGCTTCTTGAGTTTGAACGGCTACGACTACGGCTCCTAGACAAGCTTCTCTTGGAGTCGTACTCCTTCACCTACAAGAAAACAGTAGGAAACTTCTCAGAAAGATGTTCACATGCCAAGTTAAAGAAAAGAAGATATTATGAGATCAAATACTCTTATATATGCCCGCGAAAATGCATTCCGGAACTCGGAGTCATCTAGCTTCCTAATCTGGAAAAAAAAAGAAGTAATACTTTGATTTGTACCGAAGACAAATACTTAATTTAAGAAGGCTTCGCAAATGTCATGAATGATAAAACCAGTCATTGACATAAAAAAAATCACTTACCGCATATTTCATATCATCATAATTTGTATAATCGACAATTCCAATCGTACCTGCAAAGATGATCGTGTAAATTCCAGCAGGTACTTATATGACAATGTTTGCATCTGATCAAGAAGCAACATGGAAAATTTTTTATCTTCAAATTGGCTAACCATGAAATACATAGACAGAGGACAGCTGCAAAACGAATGCTATGACAATGACAATCAATCAGTAGCATAAAAATAGGTAAAAATATTTTCATCTATAAAACTGGCCAAAATAATACAGAATTGACAGCCAATTTAGGCATAAGGTGGGAGATTGAGGAAACTGTTAGAATATAAGGAGCTCAGGGTGCCCAGAATTACATGACCAATTATAGAGAACAATTCTATGATAAAAATAATAATTATAATCATCATCCAAGCTTTACATAATGAAGATGAAGCCAACTAATGTCTCTTTGTTTGTCTGAGAAGCAAAAGTAAAAGATGGCATTACCATTATATACATTACAGATATAGTTATACAAAAAAATTCATAAACTGAATATTTCTAATGAATTTCAATTTCTTTCTTAGAGGATGGTGATTTACAACCTGAGGTATTAGTCCAATTCAAATTCAAATGAAAATTCATGGTAAGCTTTGATCAGAAAACAACTAGATTGTTTGAGTAAATATCACTAAAATACCAACCAGGTTTAGCCAAATTGCATTTGTTTGGGTTGTAAATTTACAACAGAAAAGTCAATAATATTCACTAAAGCGAACATGAAGCTACACCAAATTAGAAAAACAAGTTTAACATCAAAGCAACGATGAAGGGCACTTAAGAAAAACAACACTAAAAGCAACACAAGATATAAAACTCAAAATTGGGATTGGGATTAATCAATTAACTGAGATAAGTAGTGAATTTATAGATGAACTTGCATTTCAACCCCAAATAAACAATTAATAATAATAATAATAATAATATCCAAAAAAGACAAAATCAGAAAGTATATCTTTATTGCTCTCCTTTTCATTCCCCACCTCCTCTCTTCATACTTCCTAGCTCCCTTCTACTCCTGTTTCTCCCATTGCAAAATGTTTAGAAGCTCCATGTTCACCAGTTGAAAGTCCACTTCTCAGCACTTCTCTACCAGTATCAGCTTAGCTCCTACATCGCCTTAACAAACTTTAAGGACTATATCAAGAACAAACCAGAGGTAAGGTAAAGGGTGAGGTGAAAAAGCTGATACGCATGTTAGCAATTGAGAGAACTTAGAGAAGCCAGAGGCCTAAAAGAAAAACAAAAGGAGAATTCTAGCTCGAGAATGAGTGGATTGATTAAACAGAATCATAAGTGGACCTCATATCACTAGTCCCAATCATCTTTACTGTCCAAGGGAATAATATCTCAAGAAGTTCCTTTTTTAGTTCACCATGTTGACAGAAGGGTAAAAAACATAGCCAAAGTATTCTATTTGAGGCTCGAGGAAGCTCAAGGGTGTATCAGAAGGGAATAAGAGATTTAAAAAAAAAACTTGTCGCCTAGTGGCAATAGGAGCTTCAGCAAATCTTTTGAGATGCATCAGAGACAAACTAGTCTGGTTTTATCTAAATCACTGATCGATCTAAAGTAGGCTCATGAGGGTTCTTCTAAATTGTTTACAGATTTCAGTGCACGCCTTTGCCACAACCCAAGGACCCTGGATGCATTTAAGCTGCCAAAGAAGAAGTGAGAAGGATATGGATGATAAAATCATTAAGTTGTAATTTCTAATACCACTTCATACTTGGCACCTCTCACCTTCTCCATTACAGAAAACATTTATTCCTATACATTCACATCAAGTTTGTTCAATTGCAAAAATCTCATCATATGTCCACTTCAAAAGATAATACATTCTGAGATGAAAACCAACATGAATATGCTGCACATACAAAAACACCTAACAAAAAGGAAGTAATCAGAGTTGTGCACAACTTCAGAACTACCTCCATCAAAAAGCTAAGACAACATATAAGAGCAAAGAATTATATTTATAAATATAAAGCTAGAGCAACTCACCACCACCATCACGAAAAACTTCAGAAAAGCAGACATCACCAGCTCGGCGCATATGATCCTAGAATAGAAATATCCAAAAATATAATTAACATAAAATTGAAATTGTAGCCATTAAAAAAATTATAATATGGCATACCTTTAAGTCTTGCCACGATGCTGACGAAGGCAAACCAGTGACCATTACTACACAATATCATGAACACACATTTTAAAACCAAAATTAGTTCACCTCAAAAGTCATCCTGTGAAACTCATAAACAGGCCAAGAGGCAACAGCGCACCGCGATATTCTGTGCGCCTGGAAACACCACCACGGCGCCCCCCACTACTATGACTACTATGTCGATCAAATGATGAAGATTGGCCTCTACCACCATGAGCAAGTTCCACCTGCAACATATTGTGGCACAAGATCATAAGAATTGGACAATTATAAATAACAGATAAGTCAGCATCATTATGCCTACTCGTAATCTGTGACCATCAAAATTATATCCATCCCGTCCACGAATAGCATCTTCAGCATCACGAGGATCTTCAAACTGCAAGAAGGATTAATATTAGCAACATTTAAAAGCCAATGACTAAAAGGTGTTTATTCACTTTCCTATCTTATCTTAAAATAATAGAAATTCCAGCAAGCTGACTTTAGTTACACTGGTTGAGAGGTAGAAAAAAGAATATTTTTTACTGGGCAACAGAAACATATGAATCATAAATTCTTCATGCATTCACATAATATTATTTGTTTACCAAGGACAATTTCTTCGTTCATGATTACAGTCATGAATTGCTTCTTACCAAGAGAGGAAGGAATATTACCTCGATGAAAGCATAACCTGGAGGCCTTGGAGGAATCTTCAAATCAATATCAATAATGGGTCCATACTGCACAGAAAATCAAATTGAAGATTAAGGAGTATAAAGGTAAAATAAATAAATAAATATACCATATCACCAATCCTTTCAGATCCATAGAACAGCTAGAGTACTCTCTTACTTCAAGTTCCCCAAACACTAAGCCAACCAAAATTGGAAAAATTTGTCAAACCATTATCTTAATGATTTATAAGCCCCTTCAAAAATTGTAACATAAATTAATATGGGCCTACATCAAGTAGTATCTATATATGTTATTTTATTTATTATGTTACAACTCAAAATATTATATAAAACGTCAAAAGTAACTCTTTAATCAAAATAAGGCCAAGCATTGACTACGTCTGAAACAAAATAATGACAAATATATGTAGTACTCTGGTCTCTGTGAAGGATAGCAATAACATGAGATGGAATCACAGATGAGTGGAATAAGAACTTGAGCATACAGTAGCCAGCCATATGCCTACAAATCAGATTGACATCCTCTGGTTCGAGTCTTTATTCATCAGTCTCTTTAAAATAAAAGAACACAATCACTTAAAGGTAGCTGCACAAATTCCATAAGGTTCCCCTTCCCATTTCTCTGATTTCTATCAGGATAGGATGACTAGTAATCCTACATCCTTATTGTAAAGCATAGACAAATCAATAAAAAGAACTTGCACAATAAAAAAAAAGACTTAGAAAAATTACATTAAACAATCCTTTTCTCTGATTACTATCAGGATAGGGTGACTAGTAATCCTAGCATAGACAAATGAACAAAAAGAACCACTTGCCCTTTGAAACAATACATTAAACAATTTGAACAATTCTAAAACAAAAGGTCAGTATACTCACAAGTCACAATTCCAACAACAATGAAAGTGAGTAATAGACTTCAATACAAAGGATTTAAATCTCAAAGTGATTTTGGTTTTGCAAGTGGCCAAACCAGTTCAGTATTGGTATATCAGGCAGCAAACCAACCTCTATCACCCAGTATATAAAATAATAATAATAAACTAAATAACCAACCATTATTGTCCAGTACCGGTCCTCTTATGTGTTGACTGTAACTAACATATCCCTCCTTAAAGTGGCTCAACCCACAAAATTTAACGAAATTAACAAAGAACAAGAAGGCCATGTCATGCTTTAGGCTATCATAGAATGCAGTGTCTTCCACAAAAGAAGTTTATGAACAGTGAAACACCTCATTGTAGTCATTCGTCCCTTCAATGACTTAAAAAACAAAACTTGCAAAATGCGTGAATCATCAAAAGAATAAGACCAATATTACAACCGGTATCAACACCAAGTTTCTGACATCATTTTTACAATCAAGTGGATTGGTGATGATCTCTTCTGCCAAATTGAAGTCATCATATTCAGAAAAAGCAAGCCCAGCAAACTGGTGACAACAGTACCTACTGAAACCATTATCATTTTATTTACCAACCATCAGAATCTTTGTTTGGCACGTGCACACTCTAATATGACTTATTTCATATTCAACTAATTGCAACACTAGGAACTCAAGTAAGATATATCAAAGGCAAAAAAGTAATTGCGTATCTTTGTTGAGCAAAATTAAACGATCAACAACTTGGTCAGTACTCAAACTTTAGAATCAGGATCAGCTGAACAAAAACATATCAAAGTAAGGGATCACAGATGACAGATTTTAACAGCAAAGGAGATGGGATTTTCGTGTGCATTTAATTTCATAAATCCCAGTTACTCAGAGATCTATCTTTCAAATTAAATGCACTTTAACCAATATATGAAAGCAACATCATTTGCAAATCTTCCAAAAGATACTCTCCTTTTTCATGACTTCTTAAAAGAGAATTTTTAATGGATTTCAATTATGAATAATTCATATTTGGCTCCCACGTATTACCAACTTTATCAATCTGATAATTATAAGAGATTAAGAAAAGTTAAATTGGACAGAAATAAGACTGATACATAAGAGAGGTATCCTTATAATAGTATCTTTCACTAAAGATCCTAAAAAAGGAAAGATGATTAACAATTCTCTGTAAATATAGAAAGTATGCCAGCATATGATTCTGCAAAGCAGGGAAAGGATGATGATCTGGCACGAAGAACACCGAAAAGAGATTGGCTCTCAATAAAGACAAGTAGATTTATGTTAATATACAATGAACTATGATGCACTGTACGAACATGTATCCTCCAGATATAAATGAGAACAGCATCATCCACAAGATCCTAGTATACCAGATGTCAGGAGCACTGCCAGTGAGAAATTTCAATCAATCATCAATATTTTGAACACCAAACCCAGGATTATGTTCGTTGATATATTCTTGTAAGAAACAATACAAAATATAAGCCAATCAAATAGTAACTACACTCTCTCGACCCAAGGAATGAAGACCTCTGACAGAGTAAAACAAGACCATAGATGTAACTTTTCCTCCGTTAATATAACAGAACTAGTTTAGTAGAAAAAAATTATGTTTTTTTCTCAACAGCTATTTTGGCCTATGGTAGCATCTCCTAGGTAAGAATTTAGGTAATTTTACGTTCCAAAGGTTAACAGACCTTGTAGAACAGATCTTCCACCTCCCTTTCACGAATGTCACCGGGGAGATTGCCCACGTAGATGGTTCGACTGTATCGCTTACTCATACTTCCTGCAAAAAAGGGCACAGGAATCAAACAGCTGAAAACAGGATAAGTAATGGATTTCCAGCCAAACGTTCACAAAATTCAGCATCTCAAAGATTAGAGAAAATCGTCATATCCGAAAACAAATCTGCGCAAAACACTTGACCGTCTTCGATTTCAAGTAAAAAAAACCAAGAACGCCATAAAAGCGAAAAACCAGCCAAGGATGATACAGATTGGGGAAAAGATCGACAACTTACGAACATAACATGGATATGAAAAGCAATCGCAGGAGACCTAGAAAAAAAGCTGAGACAGATTCAGGGATTTGAAGCTGACCTGGGCGTGGGGAAAGGCGGCTTGGCTTCGCAAATCGGCGTCGAGGTTTTGGGGCTTTCGGGCGGATGGCGATTAGGGCGTAAAGAGGAATCTTATAGTCGGGGAAGACCACGCTTCGAGATTCGGGTCTTATATCCCAGCGGTTCATTTTGGGTACCAGTACGGTGAACAAGTTCTCCAGCTTTGTGCCGACTGCTATAGGAGGGAAAAGTGGGCCCTAGCACACTTCTTCGAACAAACAATGCGGGTAACATTGTCGGTGAATTTTATGTAGCAACAAATTTGGGCGATTTCTTAGGAATAGTCTAAATATTACAATTTTCATATATTTTTATTGATGCAGTTATTCTTAAAAGGTATAAATGAGTATATAAATGAATTTCTTTTTTCTAACATGATTAAATAGTTTCCTTGTAAAATATTATAAGAAAAAATTCATTGATATTACGATGCTTTTGAGGTAAAAATATGAAGTCCTTCATATATCGCTTGCACGAAGATCAAATAAGAAGTTTTTTTACTCAATCCTTTGACACTAAGTTAATAATTCGAGATATATGAGTGTGGATACGAGTGATCAAAAAAATTAATCTCTCTTTTCGTTGTGCTGAAAACATCAAACTCATTAGGTGTCACTTGTATGAAGATCGAGGATGGGAGATGTTTCTCGACTCGATCTCTTAGATACTCAAGTTAATAATATGAAATATATGAGTATGGGCGTGAGTGGTCAAAAACAGTAACATCTCTTTTCTTTGTGCTGAAGATAAGCATTTATACCTGGTCGTAAATGTATAATATTTTACAAGGAGGTAGCTCTCTAATCACCTCCAACATCCTTCCTTTGGCCTCTTATCTATGTGAGTGACAAAGATAGGAGGGTAGGGTGGGGTTAGGTAGCTCATAACTACCTACCTTGGATTCTTGCATATATGTAGGTAGATGGGTGGAGGGTGACCTATGTCTTTTCCTTCTACCTTAGACCAGTTACGTATCGAATGACGATTAACTTACAGTGTACTTCTTATCATTTATCCCACCCTCCCAAGCATGCTTCAAGGTTCGCACGAGAGGGGTCCAAAGTGTAACGTATAGTTCATTTAATACGTCAAACTTATACCTCTTCAATCCATCACCAAACTACCTCTCGTATCATCGAGGGACGCACCTTGGTCGGATGATGTTGGGTTTCCCGACCTCCATGTCTCTTCTCGACCTCAATGCCTCAAGCAAAGGTGAGGGTCGGGTCTTCCGACCTCTCCGCAAAAGTGGGGGTTGAGTTTTACTGACTCATGCCTAGGATATATTTTATCTTGTGCCTCTCATCATGATAAGTTTTTTTTTATGTGAGTCGGGTTTTCCTGACTCACGTGCCTTGGACACATTTTGTCTTATGTCTTTTACTATGATGGATTTCTTCTTATGCGGGTTAAGTTTTCCCAACTCACATACCTCAAACATATTTTACTTTGTGTCTTCCACCATGGTGAGTTTCTTCTGATACGGGTTGGGTTTTTCTAACTCATTCGCCTCAGGTATATTTCACATTATACCTCCCATTATGATGAATTTCTTCTTACACAGATTGGGTTTTCCCAACTCACACACCTCGAAAATATTTTGCCTTATGTCTTCTGCCGTAAATGGTTTCTTTTAATACAAGTTGAGTTTTCCTTACTCACATGTCTTAGGTATATTTTGTCTTGTGCCTTCTACCATTATAGATTTTTTTTTATACGAGTTGGGTTTTTCACAACATTGATCACTTTTACACTCTTAAAGGTGGTCTTTATGCATTGGTTACTTTATACTCTTTGAGATAGTCTTTGCACATCAGCCACTTTTGCTCTCTCTGATGTGTCCCTTCATCAATTGATGCCCAAGAGAACGTTTGTCTTCATTGTGAGAGGAGAGTGATCAATCCCCTCATTATGAATTGCCCCTTAATCATGGGGGTGAAGCTCATTCCTGAGCCTCCAAGCCCCCTTAAGAGTCTTCTCTACTTAGCCTTGATTTTTTGCAAAGAGAGTCGGTTCTTGAGTTCCTCATCCTCCCGACGTGTCATATCTATAACACCTTAGTCTTCCAATATCTTGTTTTGCATCTTGTTCTTCCACCTTCGTAAGTTATGATATCTTTTCTTTCTCGCACAAGCTCCTCATTCCATGATAATTTTCATGTGACACTTATATGTCGGATGATGGTTATCATTAATATATTCTTTATCACTAACGAACCCATCAACAAATAAGTCATAAGGGTAAAGTCATTAGTCGAGAGCCTGAGTTTTTAAAATGCATCAAAGTAGAGGTTATCAATAGTGCTATCTATATCAATTATAACCATCTTCATTCAAGCATTGATCATCTTTATAGAAACAACTAAGACATCATCGTGATCTAAGTCAAGGAACTTCGTTTTTTCCTCCTTAAAGGTTATTTTTAGGTTATCCTTCATCCTAGAACTCTTTTCAATGGTAGCTTAAGCATAAGTTTTATGACCCCATGAGCTATCTCTTCCAACGTGGGTCCACCAATGATGACTCAATTTGTCTCTCTATTAACCCCTAAGATCAGGGTCAGGTTTCCTAGTGCTTTCGAACAACCTACCTAAGGTGTACTCGATATATGAGTTCTTTAATCTACTTTTTCAAATCGCGATAATCATTCGAGTTATAGTTGTAATCCCGATAAAATTGGCAGTATTTGAATTTATCTTTTTCACTAACAAAATCTTTATTGGGTAAGGATTTTTTAAGAGCCCATTCTCTTTTATCCATAGAAAAATTTCAATTATGGTCATATTCAAGATGGTTAGCTCAAACCTTAGGTGAGGTAACTCGGGTCATTTATTTCTCTTTCACCATGGTAGCCTCGGGGTTAGGGTGGATTATGGTCGCTTCTACTTCAGCCTCTTGTATAACTCCTCATGTTTACCGAAGACTATGACCTTAGTGATAATATATTGATTGACCCATTAAGATACCTTTGGTATTATCATCGACGATCTCTTGATCATTGGCCAATAGAGGTAAGAAGGTTTAACCCCATCATGAAGATCTATATTATGAGCGACGGATGGACATATACAATGTCTCAAATTTCATTAGTGGACCGAGCGATCAACCCTATAAGTGTTTCTTCCTCCTCCCATGTAAGTCTGAGAAGCCTTACCATTACTGGCCTTTAGCGTATGTTCATGAGGAAGTGAAATTCAAACTTCCTCGCGAGCTAGGCAAAAGAACTAATCAAAATCAGCTTAAGGTAAGCATATCATTCTGCCTCTTAATGTGGTTGGAAAGGTACAACACATCAAGGCATCCAAAGTACCATATAATGATATTTGGCCATGGAAGGCTACGATGTACTCTATCAGGTTGGCACTACCATTGAATGCCTCTAACTATGGGAGGTGAAATTTTGTTGGAATCGATTCCTCTTTGATTTTTTAGATAAATTGTGACCGACTCGAGGTGGGGTCGACCAACATTTCTTTTTTAGATTATTGGAATTCTCATTCATCTCTCCAAACATCAATCTATCTATCATAATTGGATCCTAAGGAACCCTTTATCAAATCCATCAACTATGTCTCATATTCAAGCAAAGTAGAGTGGTGGTGTGGTCCATTGAATTTCACGATTGGGGATCAAAGTGCCCCCTCGGTTGGTGGTTTGACATGTCTCATGCGCTCTTGGGATGTTGGCACCATGTCGGGTGGGGGGACCTCGATGGGTGCTAGTGTTGGTGGCAGTTGAGCCAATGATCGCACCTGTATCATACTCGTTAGCATTTGTACTTGTTGGGTGACATTCAAGAATATCTCGACAAGGATGAGCATGTAGCTCATGGTCATCCCTAGGGATGAGAGATCCAATTTATTGAATAAACGCTAGTGTCACATCAATGTTTTACACTAAGATGGATGCATCTATGCGAGGAAAGGATAGCTGCTACCCCCCTTAAGTGAAAGTATTGTGTGTCGGGTGCAAAACCTCATTACTCGAGCGTTTATTGAGAGTGTCAGAGGGTGGATATTCCTGTAACATTAGGTCCTCCTTCTAGCGCAAAAAATGTTGAAGGAAGTAGTCGTTGATGTCCTAGTCAGCCCGACGTGGTCTAGACTTGTATGAGCGGGATTGCCTGATGTGCCTTCGAAATGAAAATATTGAGCTCTTAATGTAACACTTATAGAAGACCGAGGTTACCAATGGTTTCCTAACCAATCCATATAATGCCCAATGTATATGAGTATGGATATGAATGGTAAAAACTGATAATTTTTTTAATATTAAAAATAAGCTTTTATACATGATCGTAAAAGGAAATAATATTTTACGAAGAGACAATATATAACTATCTTCAACAACCTCCCCTTGGTCTCTTATACACGTGGGCGATAAGGAGGGGCTTGCCCCATGACCATATACCTTGGACCCTTGCCCACGTGGATAGACCGATGGAAGTTGACCACTATCTTCTCATTTCACCTTAAATATCACATAGCAATTACATATTGAATGACAATTAGCTAACAATGTACTCCCTATCATAACATATTTATATAAATATATTTCGATCTTGAGATCTAAATTAAAAATTATAAAATTAAAGATGATATTATAAATTTTATGTAAAATTCTTAACTTTTAGTCTTTTAAAAATATATTTTTATTTTTATTTTTTTTCAAATAATAGCTCCTATTTATTAATCATTGAAATATCCACAAATAACGTAATCACATGAAAAACTACAACATATGAACCGAATTATAAAATTAATTAGCTGTTGGTATGCTATAGACCAATCCAATCACCCTATGTGTAAATTTTAGTGTATGAGTTATGATATTTTTAATTATGCTTATGCTATGGCACTTTATAATCTAATAGAAACTTACATATAAATATATGATTTTAAGCGGTTATATAAGTTTAGGAATAAAAATCTGAAGATTTTTATATCAGTTATTTTTGAATCAATAAATAATATTTTTTAATCCCGTTTAAGAATGAATTCAGACTGATTTATCTTATGGATTGATCTATATGATACTCGTATTCCAAGGATTTTAATTGATAAAAGTCTTCGAAAACACGAAAAAAAAAGTGTAAACTAAGAAAAGGGAGATTTTTAGATAACTCAAACTCTAAAAAAAAAAAAGTTTTTATGGTTTCGAATATTATAATGATAATTTAAGATATATAATAGTAACGAAGTGACAACTAATAATTGAGCTGACCATTTAACGAGCAAAGGTTGATTAGTTGCGAACAATCATGTTGGATGCATTAGGCTGGAGACCGACCATGCTACATAACATGTCTCCTTGTGTGGGTGTTTTTGTTGTGCGTCGTTCTTGGAACACAACGGCTGGTGAGAGAGGGATGGGGGGAACGCAGGCTCTGGCGGCGTACCGGGCCCTGTTGAGGGCGACGCGGAAGACGTTCGCCGGGGACACGCTGATGCTGGCGGAATCTGCGGCGGAGATCCGGCGGAAGTTCGAGGAGAACCGAGGCGTGGCCGCGGAGGCGGAGGTGAATCGCTTGCTCGACGAGGCCCGGGAGGCCTCCCACTTTGTCTCTCACATGATCGTCCAAGCGAAACTCAGCTCCTCTGGCGGCTACGGTAATGATTCGAGCAACGTTCCGACCTTTTCTTTGAGATCGTAACCTACGATCTATTAACTGATTAAAAAAATCATAAAATCTGTGAGCTTTGAGAACTAGATATGATCCATCATGTGGCTTTTCATGAGCATGTGATTCCAAATCTTTAGACGCTTGCTTGCGGGACAATCAATTGCTTTATCTGCATCAATTTTGTGGTTGGCCATTGGGCTACTCATTTCCTTTGTCTTTGACCATCTGAATCTTGTAATGCAGTTGTTAAACCTACGAAAGAACATGCTGGAGCAACACTGGAGGTTCCCTCAGAAGAGTTCCTTTCTAAGTCTACCTAAGGGAAATTTAACTGAATGCTATCGCCAAAGGTGATCATCACTGTTGCAGACTAAACTTTAGATCAGTTGCTTTCTAGAATAGGTTTTCTCACGCTAAGAAATTTGAAAAGATGTTGTATTTCTGTAATTTAATGTTTAACCATTCTGCCAACTGTTCTTTCAAGCTTAGCAAATAAGTGCAGATATAACATCCCAGTACTAACTGTGAATTTTTCATTCTAAGATTCAAGAAATCATAATGTTCTATTCCATGTTTTCTTGTTATGCTTTCCAAGGTTGTTTGCAGGAAGTATTGAAGTGCACTTTTGATCGAAATGAAATGGGCAGATCAGGATATATTTCATTTTCTTTCTGCAAGTGAAAAGAGTAGTATTTTTCAACTTCTGTGTTGTCTTAACCTATAGCATTTCTATATTAATTTTAAATTCATTTTGCTTCTTTTATGTTTTTGGGAGAAGTAAGCGATCATTTTATTCCAATCTAAGGAGAAAGCAATACATGGTAAAATATAAATCCACAAGGTTCTTGGCTATAAACTCATTTCTGACAAAAATTGAAACATAAGATCTCACATTACACCTCATAGCATTAAATACATACAGAATTCTACCACATACTAAATGGTATCAGTTAACTCCCCATTTGGTCCAACCTGTATGAAAAGATCTAATAGCCTAAGGAATCACGATTCTCCCAACTCTCTTTGCTTCAAATTTTGCTGCTTTTTCTAACTTCTCTATCCCAGAGCCTGACTTTAAAACTTGCAAACTCTCTATTCTTTGATAGTAGTTATTTGGCAAAGGGATTAGATCAGACAATATCTTTGAATCTATCCCTTGACCTTACCACTTCCACCAATATTCGATACAGGTTATCTTCTAACTTTTTTCATAGACACTGATGTTAGATGATAAATCAATTATTCTTTCTGCTTCTTTCCCAACTACTTGGTTCATATCCTTGTTAAATTCACAATTACCACTGGATTGATCAAGGTCTGCAGTGTTAACAATGAATATGAATTAGTTCGTAACAAAATTCTGCTTATAAGTATTGCCTTCAGGATCACTAGGCTGTATGAATTTTGGAATTTAGATAGTCTTCTTTATGATCTTGTTGACGTAAGAGTTACACTTTCAGTAGACTGAGGCCTTCCTGTGATGCTTGCCAATGTTCTAAAGCATATTTTGGTCCACAAGTGAAGTTCAAGGAATGGAAATCTAATCTAGGAAGTTATCTTGTCCTTATTATGGTAACTGAGACCATCTTTGTTCCATTGCCTTGGTATATAAGGTTTCCGGTCAAAAACCATGGCCCTGCTTCCAGTCTGAACTCTTTTAATAGATTTATAAATGTATTTGAAGATTGAAAATCTTCAATTCCGGTTGTAACTTTGATTTCTCCAGACAAACTTTATCGAGCCTTTAAAAACCTCATCATTGCATGAAAAGAAGGATTAGAGTCAACAATATATCCATAGACTTCGTTTCACCATTGCTCAGAATATCTCTTGATATTCTTATTCTCAACGCATCCAATTATCTTACTATTTTTGTTTTCTCCAGATTTCTTTTAAAGATATAATCCATTTTCCTTGTTTTTTTCTCTCGTGACAGCTGTCTGCCATGGATCCTGGTCAAAACCAGAATCTTGTGAAAACATATCAGAACTGTACTTCTTCTATTTGCTATCATGAAAAATCTTATGGATATCATTCCCTTACAGATTTTAAATTTTTTTTTACAATTTAATGCTTATTCTCCCCTATTCTTTGGATTTTTCTTTGAGGTTTCAACATGTTGTTGTGGGCAATCTATGGTTTATTCCAAGCTATACAGTTTCGAATGATACCACCCGGTACGGGCGGTACATACCGGTCTGACAGTAAACCGGTACGTGGACCGCTTGCTATCGGACGACATTATTTATTTATAAATAAATATATATATATATATATATATATATATATATATATATATATGTATATGTATATATGTATGTATATGTATATATGTATATATGTATATGTATATATATATATGTATATATATATATATTTCAATCCTTGGTTTATACCATCAACCATATATAAGTACCATACCGTATAGAGAGAATGTCGAAATTTCGGTACGATATTTCAATCCTTGGTTTATACTGTCAACCATTTTATTGTAGCTAAGAATAAATGTGTTTGTTGTCTTCCAAGGTTATCCTAGGTGAAAAATGACCATTGTGCCAAACCTAGATTGCATGTTGGAATATTTAAATGGTCATATAGAGAAAGCACATGATTATTTAGATGGCAATAGATTATGCTGATTTTACTACTTTATTCAAAAAATACCTGTAAGTGAAAAATTCATCATTTGAAGCCATTTTCATGATCATGACCATCATATAGAGAAACTATAAAAACTAAAAGGAGCATGTGAGGGTTTGGATTCAGAAAAAAGAACGAAGCAAAAAAAATCAGTTTGATGAATTTTTCATTCTTGTAATTATTAAAACTCACTTGAAGAAAAATGATGATAATGAGATTACCTAGAAATGTGAACATAAATTATATTTTATTAGGCATATAGTTGTAAGATCAATTATGCTAATGGATAATGTTGCTATGAAGTTAGAAAGCAACATATGCCATAAATAAGTGTCATCAAGATGTGTGAAATTATTGATAAATTAACTGAGAAGTTGTTTACATTTGGGAACAATTTGTGTAATTCTAAATAGATGGAGAACTTTTTAGGATGGCATGATTACATGTAAAAGATACTAATGGATGCACTGGTCAGAGGAGATGTGCCAATTAGAATTTAGAGGTGCAGGAAGAGATTAAGTGCTCGTACTAGTAATATCGCTCTCAATGGAGTTCATTGGTAGAAAAAGACCCATGAAGCTGGCTTCAAGTAGTTGGTACATAAGGACATTAGGACTTCTTGTCATGAGCCAATTTCTAAAGCTCTCTAGACTAGAGGATGCATGAGGACTAATGGTTGTTGAGTGTGTTTTATAACCAATGATCAACAGTTCACACTGCTGTATATGCAGAGAAAGGAAGAAAAACGCAGGGAATCTAGCGATATTATAATAGAAGGGGCAAGGGTGAGGAGGCAGAGAGAGGGCATACAATAAAGATCATGAAGACATGAGTAGGATTAGTGACAAACAGGCAAAGAGATTTTTATTGGAAATATGATTGTCATACGAGACCTGCTTTTCTCACAGTAAAAATGCTACACAAAACTTATAACCAGCTATGTCTGATTCTAAATATGATACAATACAACGGAAGATATGATTCCATCTCTCTTTAGTCTTAGATTTGCCTTTCAGGTTGTTAGTGGTCTATTACTAACCAATATATATTTTGTCTTATTATTTTTAGTTTTGCTCTACTGAGAACCAGTGGGCTCCCTGTTAATTGGACTGGAACAACTTAATTGAGCTTCTAAAATTATACTGACAAAGTCGTTAAAAAAAAACTAGTCTTGAACTCATGGATCAATTGTAGATTAAATTAAATTGATTCAACCTGGCTCCTAGCTTTTCCTTGATTAATTAAATTACGTGCAAATATGACTATTAGCAAGTTGGTACAATGCAACGGAAACAAGTATCTCATGATCCTCGTAAGATGGGTCTTTGTAACTGAATGGTCTCCTTTCTGTGATATCTTCTAATCTGTTAATGAAGAATTTTTGGATATCTAAGTCAAAAGAAAAAAAATTGGTTTGATAATAATAAATATCACTGATTTCTTGATCTATGTAGAATAGGGTGTTATGGTTCTTGGACTAGTTAGTGATATTGGTCTTAGTACAAATAATGTCATAAAAGGTTCGTGTAGCTAACATCAAACAATTGGCTAAGAAAAACTTCTTGTTCAGTCTATGTTTTAGTTCATCCATGAACCCTAGTAGTCATGTAGTAAAGTAGACCAGAAGTATGTTTTACTTTACCCATTTTACTAAACCAAAAAGCATGGGCTTCGATATAGTAGATTTGTTAACACATGGAGATGGAATGGTTTTCAACATGAATTATTAATTCTTCTTGTCTATATGAAACTTATATTTATTTGTGTGAGGCTCAATTTTTACTCATTTGTATTTGATCCTAAGTGTTTTTCCATTAATTTTGCAGATGCTGAGACAAAACAGTGGCTATTGTTTTAAATTTGAAGACAATAAACGGTGTCACTCTGTCTTTCTTAAGTTCTCTTTGGTCTATTTTAATGTTTCATGTAGTGTTTGCTTAAAAATATTTTTTGTAATTCACCTTGTTGACATACCAGGCATGGTAGACGTCCAGAAAAATTCTGACACTGTGATAAAGAATGTATTTCATAAGACAACTTGACATGTTAATATTATAGCATAAATCTACTTAAAAAAATATTATAGTATTAATCTATCACCCTATTCAATTTTATACTATGGTATTTTTGGAAGTGTTAGTAGATGAAAAGGTTGGATCTATAACTTTATAGATCATTTAGAACTTTGCTTCAGAAGCTTCTGTATAATTCTAATAATGTTTGATGCTCGTATCTGCTTTTTCAGAGGTTTAATCATGCTCCTAATTTTCAATATATCAGCAAGAGCAATGTATGATTCACTTTGCAGAAGTTACCGGTCAGCATGCTGCACATCAAGCAATAATAACACTCATATTTTTGTCCGAGGAATATGCAGCAGATGTAAATTTCTTTAGGACATTTTTCCTTTCTTATATATGTTCCACTTGTTTGCTTATATAATATATCCTCAGAGACACATGTAAATATTACATGGATGATTATATAAGCAGTTTATCTTTGCTATGTTGTCAATCACTATGACAATATTAGATTCCTGCCAGACAACTGGGAGTAATTATGCTCAGTTGCTCAATTAGGAAAAGTTGTATCTACTGCTCCTTTAACCATTATGGTGATGGACTTATACTCGTGACAAATGTTGTCCATAATTAATGACCCTGTAGAGGATGGAGAAAACTGAAAAGTACATTGATGTTAAAAAGGTGACATCACTTTATTTACCCTTTGATAGGCATTTTGACACAGATCCGGTTCGATTGAATTGTACCACCTGAAGTAATAAATTGTGTTCATCCTAGGGAACACTCAGTTAGCAATCTCAACCAGTGTAGATTGGCCTGACCAGTCACATTGACATGTGGATGCAATTTCTGATGAGCCTATAAACATAAAGCCTGTTTATACATAGGTAATGACTGTGATTATTTATTTCCATTTCAAAGTCACCAGATCAGTATCATTATCTTTTACATTTCTGATCAAAGTAATCAGATGGTTTTCCTTATAAAATATTTTGCTTATGTGATCTAGCTTAGACAATGAGGTCTTTGTCAACAAAGTTGGTCCTTAAGGATCATCTAGCAATTAAAACAATTCAGGTCAGATTCCAGGGCACTTTATAGCTAATAAGACATCACTTTTAGGTAAGGTGGCTGTTTACAAAATGTTACTTGACATACTGTTGCTCAATGGGACATGGTGTGGGGTTTTCTATGTATCGGTTGATTCTTCATAGGTTGCAAGAATTGGATGTTTACTGCAACAAAAAGGTTGGACAATGGGGCAGAACACATCCCTATCAACACACCTCATGTACAGGTTGTTGTGAAGCACCTTCTGTTATAAGATGACAGAAGGAATAATAGAAAAGATTGTAGTGTCCTGAGTCCTTCTAAGAGAGGGACCAGAAGGACAGGTTGGTAGCCACTCTTCTGAGAAGGATTAAAGATGAGTATAGCATTGTAGTCTTCTATTATTGAGAATGGAGTGCTGCAGAGGCTTAAACATTTAGCTCCATCACTGGATTCTCTTAATCATATGGCAGGCCCCCTGAGATTTAAATTAATACTTGCGGGGGAATTCCTTGGCTGGAGCCATGTTCTGCATTCCAGTTTTATTATGTGGGGATCATGTGACATTGATTTGTTTTGACAAAAACAAGGTTACAAATGCTGCTCAGTTTGTGTTTATTTTGTTGAATTAGTATGGTAAACATTGATGTCAGATGACTGTGGTGAGACAACTCAAGTTGGTCAAAATGCCATGTTTTTGTTATTGTTTCTGCATGTGTGGGCACAGGATGAGTTTTGTCATCATGGTTAGATTGATCTCTCTTGACCTGAGTAATCTTTGAGTCACACAAACAGACTCTATCATCCATCTTATCCTTGTTAGATCTAAATATTGGTCAAGATGACATTCTATTGACTCTTGCTAGGGCAACTACTTAATGCTCTTGTGACACTCTAGTATGCCAATCATGACCATGTGTTTCATTGTGTCACAACAAAATGTGTGCTCGAGTGTCAATATCATAATCATGGTTAGTTCTAAAAATTTGAACTGTTACTTTCCAGCCAATTTAATTAGTCATTTTCCCAAAGACCATGGACATGAAAAATAATTAACAGTTAACAGAGAAATAATGTAATCCATGGTCATTGGATTCTGTATTCTTCTGCTTTATAGATACTGGCCATTGGATTCTTATACCGTCACTCCAAAACTAGGCTTGTGACTTCCGTTGCATGCTGAAATGATCTTTCCCATCGAATAATTCACATAAAACAAAAAGCAAAACAAAAATAAAAAGAAGTTTGTGAAAGGAAAGGAGGAGGTATGCAACACTCCCAAGGCCACAGTAATGTATCTTTTCACCATGTCACTTGTTGATACGTTCTTTATTATTATCATCCTGCAGTAACATGTATCATCATCATCTCACATTTTAATCCTGAACTAGCAGGAATGTAACCAAGAATTGACAGGATCCAGAGGAGAAGATACGTGGGTGGCTACTGCTCGATTCTTCTCCGGATTTTGCTGCATGAATCCTGATGGGCTGCACTGTTTCACTCCACTGTGCTCGTCTGCAACTCGTTAGACGAAGACGCACATGTAATTCCTGTCAGAGCAATTGGCACCTAAAGCGATCGACGAAGTCTCTCGAGGAATTCCTACCACTGCGACAAAGGAGCCATCGTCACACCTGCGAACCGAGAAATTTACTGACATGGTGCAGGGTTGATTTTGGTACAGGGTGGTGGTTGTGGTAACTCACACGCAGTTGCTTTCTCGTGGCGGAGAGGATGACCGAGGCAGGCAATTTGTCCTTGGGAAGGGGAAGATGGCGACCCGAGACAGCGGCAGCAGCCGCGGCAGCGGTCACGTTGTCGTGCTGTGGAGAGCCGTAGCGGGTGCGCGGGCCCCCGTCGCGTTTGGCCTTTTGTCTACATGCAGTCACGAGCGAACGTTCCATTCCCTCGACTCTCTCACTTCCCCTTTGCCTCATCCTCCTCCCATTCCATCCCCTCTCCGACTCACTCCCATGGCTTCCGCCTCTTCCCCTCCCCCTCTCCGCCTCGCCCAGAGGCTCGACCTCGACGCCGTCCGCTCCCTGGTCTCGTCCGTCAACCGCCACGTCCACCGCTTCCTCTCCGACGCGGCCGCCCGGAAGTCGCTCCAGCTCCGGTGCGGCCGCGCCCTCGCCGCCTCGCACCAGGCCTTCTTCGAGTTCTCCGAGCACTCCGTCCTCTCCAACCTCTACTGGGGGATCGAGAACATCGAGGTCGCCCTGCAGTGCCAGTGCCGTGATGGGTGGACCCAGAGGCTCGCCGCCTCCGAGAAGATGCTGCAGATGCCGGCGTTGCTGGATGAGGTCGGGAGTACGGCCGGGGTCGACAACCGGTACTTGGTCTGCTGCTCCTACTTCTACCTCGCGCTGGTTTGGAAGCTTCGCAGGGATGAGTGGCAGATGATGATGCATTTGCTCCAGTCTCTGTTGGTCTCGCCCAATTGCTTCAGGAAGGAGCTCGCGCCGGGCCTGTGGCGAAGTCTTTTTGGTTCTTTGACGAGTAGAACAGAAGATGAGGAGGAGGTGGAGGAGATTGCAAGGCAACATGTGAGAAGGTATAAAGATTGGTTGATGTACTATCAGGTTGTCTCATATGGTGAAACTCCTCCATGGAACAAGGAACGCTCGGGTGCTGACCATGGTGAGAGGGAGGCAGAAAATTATCAGTAAGTAATCTACATTTCTGTGAAGCTTCACATATAAACCAGTCATCTCCTGCCTAAAATCACTCTGCATGCATCAATAACATGAGGATGGCTGCAGGGGATGACAACAATGGTCAGAAATCTACCAACCCATTTAGGTTTACTGTGGGACTAAAAATAAGATCTAATCATATATATTTTAACGTCTTTTTATTTATAATTTTTTCTATATTGTATGATCTTGGATATCTTTGTGTCTGCACAGCTTCTTAAGTCCATACCCATCTGTAGAATGTGCAACTCATTGTAGATGTCACAGTTAGATCTGTCATGGTCATAGATATATCTTCAAGCTTTTGCTTCTACACTAGTGCTAATGACATTGGGAACATAATTTGCTTCAGCAACTGAAAGACTGTAGACTTCAGTATCCAAACACCATGATTTTGCCTTGCTTAAATAACTTATATCTTGTGAATTTCTGAGATAGGCATTTAAAGGAGCTTAGAGTTGACACAGTTTCTTATTCTCGGCCGCTGTTTATGAACAGATATAGAGGTTCTGCAAGTACCAGATGTTTCAACTCTATCAAGCAAGTACCTTCTTGGTCGAATTTTCAGAATGTAAGTAGCTAAAACTTCAACTTTTCCTCCAAAGTAATATTATTATGTGTAAATGACATTTATTGACAAATAATTTACTACTTGACAAATAAATTGTCCAACTGGAATCTGATTGAGAAAAATAAATCTAGAATCAGAAGTCAAACATGATTAATTGTTTTTCACTTTACATGAAAAGGTAAATAGAACTGTAATCTTACTTGGCCACATGTCAGACATCCATTGTTGCACTTATTGACTAATCAATTTGGAGGTGACTACTGAAACTCAGTAATAAATTCCACCTTTTTTTAAAACCTAAATCTGCATATATATTATATTGATACATATATTTTTTATAAAGCCACATCATAGGTCTTGCTTGGACAACTCCAGTGGAGCTATATTTCCCTTTAGGAAAGTATGCTGTTAAGAAAGAAGCACGCATATTGCCTTTGCATCTGCACTTTCTTTTTTTACTTTATTCTTTTGGGCTTTGTTATAACAAGCAGCCACTTCACAATTGTACCATGTTAATTGAAAGCATCTATGTTTTTATTATATAAGTCAATTCTTGCAGGCAAAGATGGTGTATCAGCTTAATCTTGAAGATAACATAGAAGTAAATATTGAGGCCTCTGCATCCATTTCTGATGAACAAGAAATTTTCACAGAAAGGAAGGATGAAAATTATACTCCACTGAACTTGGATATTAGTTTTCCTGGTGGAATCAAGGAGAGCTTTGACATTAGATGCCTTCAAGA